AATGCACGACCCAAGTATTCCCTGAATGTTCAAGAACACCCACAAATTCTGTAAAAATAGCTGATAATTTATTTATTTGATTTAATTATGAGCCTAGCTTGTGATTTTGGGGTGGGGGTAGGGGTGGGGCTGAAGTTGGTGATGCTGAAAAACCAATTTAGAGAAAAGCCCAGGCGAGTCATCAGCTGTGGGGAGCAGGGGAGCTGCTTAGGCTCTTCCTCATGAAACGCAGAGCATTGCAGAATCCACCAAGGACTCTGAGACTTCTCGGGTGAGGAGGCCCCCAGCGGGGTGACCGTTTCTCCCCAGGGAGCTATAGGCCTTTGGCCCCACAGTCCATGGATGAGACCGGTGTCCCATGGCCAGTGTGTGTTGGAGGCACTGGTTCATCTCTTCCTGCTTACACACCTGGGTTGACCAAGGGTGTGTCCGTTGTGGTGAGCATTAGCTGCCCCTCAGCAGGTTGTCCTTCCCAACCCCATTGGGCTGTGCTACTGGGTGATTCCCAGTACTGGTGAACATGGCTTTGGGACATGTTCCTGTCCCTTACATGAGGGTCCAGATGGGCTTGGAGTCTGCCGTGCGCTCTGCCTTTAATGTACATCGCAAAACTGAACCTGCAATCTTTGCTGTTTTAGCTGGATAGAAAAAACCCTTCCCTGTTATCAGAGTTCGCCACCACATTCACTTAGCCTTTGAGCTATTTCTCTCCTCCTTCCTCCCTTCCAGTGCGTGCCTCTCCTCTCCAGCTGACAGCCTGGGACAGCCCCCCGAGATCAGCTGCTTGTGGAGCTCTCTCTGCCGAAAGCAGTCCTAAACGGTGTGGCCTTTGTTCCCCCCAGCTGTCTTATCCTTCGGGATCTGCAACAAGTCCTCGTTTTACAGACCCCGTCTTGTCAGTTCCCAATTTGATCTGACCACCTGGTTTGTTTTTGAATCGAGCACTTGAGTCATAACATTTCTGTTTATTTCAACAACTGTATTCCTTGCATAGGAAATGAGCCAAGATGGTCTAAGGCGGGGAGAGCGAAGCATGTCGTGGTTGTGATTGCTTTTGCTCTCCCAATATCAAATTTTACAGTATAATCAAAATCTTATTTTTGTACTACTGGACTCTGTTATTGACTTAATCTTCTTAAGTGCTCCTATTATTCCAGTGATTTCATCGTTGCATGTTGATTTTAATCTTTTGATCTCCATATTAGCTACTGCCTGCAACTAATTTGTTGCTCAGTGTTTTTCTTTGTTTTGACCTGTGAGGCATTTTCCTCATGGCACACAACTCTGCTGGCAGATTGCATATAATCTCTGCACTTTTTTTCTCCCATATTTTGCATAGCTACAACAAATGCAGATTTACAACTTGAAATGGAATATGCATCTTTTAGAAAGGCTGAGGAAAATATCACTTCAGGTTTAACTCAAGAGCCTAAACATGCTTGAATAAAGGAAATACAGCTGAATACAGCTCACCGGAGAGAGGTGTCACGTAGGCTTTTTAGTCCATCAAGTTCAGAATGGGTGGCAACTGCAATAATTGTAACTTATATTATATGCAGGCAGGGATCAAAGAGTTTCTGAAAGCATTGCTAGACCTAAGATGAGAAGGCTGTTTTTTGTGAATGGCTTAAGCGACTCTCCTAGCTGGACTCAGCTTGACGCAGCGGTGGCTCTGTGAATCGTGACACCACGGACCAGGTTTTTGAACAAACATTGGTGATGGTGGCAGTAGTGCAGAGTGGTGAACTTCACAGACAAAGTGCAGAGGTTGAAATTTGGCTCAGCTGCGGTTTGGTTGGCCATTAGATGAATGTTTTTTCCCTTGGTAGTTGATGGTTTAACCTGTGCTGATTTATTGGGCGCTTTGTTTGCTGTAGCTTTTTCTCTTAAAGCTTAGAGAAGTAATTTTTGCCTTAGGTTTGCTGTAACTTTTTTAAAAAGAACATAGCCTAAACATTGACAAAATCATCTTTGCTTTGCTGCGTGCCTGTTTATGCTTCTGAACACAAATTGTCTTCTAATATTTTTGACGTTTTGGTCACCAGAGAGGCAGAAAAGCAATTTCTAAGATGCCTATGGGCCAGGAGACATGCATTACAGCAGAGGGGAAAGAATCTGTTAGTTGCTGAAATATAAAACAAATTGGATGAACAGCTGCTGACACTTGTCAGTCAAATAGTTGATAGCATTTTCAGTCTCCATGCCACATGCTTTAAGTAAGTCTGTCAAAAAAAGGATATTTTCGCTGGACTTCCCTGTAAATATGAGAGAAGTTTTGGCCTGATCTATCATTTAAAATTTTTCTGGCAGAATGAAATTTTCCTTTCCCCAAAACTGATTGACATAACTGTGCTGGCAGATTCTTCATCTAGGTGCAGTTGTACTGGCAGAAAGTCCTTTGACTGTTGGAGCTTGTTCCATCGCAGCAATGGGTTGAAGCGAAACCAGCAGCAGACCTTTGCGTTTCTTGGCTGGGTTTGCAGAGTGCTCCCATCCATCAGTAAGCCCTTTTAGATGCTACTTGAGGTGTAGCTTTGCTCTGTTGGACCCTGAGTCCTGTCCAAAGCCTAGTCTGTGGCCAGGAGGGCTTTAAACCCCGATTGATGTTTTTCAGACAAAACCAAAGTATTTCGGATTCAACATTTCTGCAGGATTAACTCAAGCCGGCACTTCTCACTTCTGGTACCATGGTGCAGCACCCATAAGGAGAGGGTCGGGCTGCCAGCACCCACTTAACCATTCGCAGGGTTAAAGGCAGTGGGGATCAGGGTGCAACACGCTCCTTTGCTCAACCACAGGCTGCAGGTTCTGGAGTGGGAGGTTAAATCCTGCTTTGCAGCATTGCTCGTAAATGAGCTCTTCTCCCCGCTCATACTAAAGTATGAAACTTGAAGCTCATCATTTGCGTCCAAACTCCTTGAAAGAAGTAAGCTGGCTAACGCTTACTTGTTTTGAATGTGTGGTCAAGCCTGACATATCCTCAGGGTTGTTACGGGGTCTCTGAGGTGCTTTATTGGGGTTTGAGGACACGCGAAAAGCTGTCACAGGCTATAGGGTTATTGCTAATGACAGAGAAACACAGACAAGTGTGTCCATAACTGCCGTTTCTGGGAGGCACCTATGATGCGTTAGTGATGCATAGCCAAGGATCATCTCCTGAAGGCTGCGCCCACACTAATTCAAAAAACTGAGCAGGGCTCACTATTTTGAAAGGTGGCAGGTGGAAGTGGGTTGTGTTTTCACCCAATAAATATTTCATGTTAAAAAAAAAAAAAAAAAAAGGAAAAAAAAGGGAGCCAGTTCCAGAGCAGAATCAAGCTGTTTCTCCAGCTCTGCTCTGCCTGACTGGGAGCAGAGGTACAAATTTGGGTCTCCCCCAGTGTTCTTTACTACTGACCACCTCAGGTAAGGATTTCCCAGTGCCTCCTCTTGGAGCTTTGCCCTTCATATAGATATTTGGGACAGCTGAGGGAGAGGATGAAGAGGGCGTGAGCACACGTATGCATCAGTATGTGTATGGGTCTCAAATGGGTCTCAACCACCTAGAAAGAAGGGACCAGGTGGTGCTTGCATTTGTTCATTGCTTTATGTCTTGTGAAACTTGTTTTGTCAGGCAGGTCCTGTGAGGACTTCAGGATGTGATTGAAGGCTCCAAGCATAACGATGTCAGGATATAGTTGGGTTTTGTATGCGTCCCAGTGACAGACCTGCAGAGGCACCTGAACTGGTTTTGGTGGACTCAGTATGACTTAAACACTCTGCTGTTACCTCAGTTCCTCTGGGGATTTAGGACCAAGTATTTGCACAGCTGGAGGATGGGTAAGAAGGGGGAAGAGCTTCCTATGTCAGTGGCCACAAGGCCACGTTCCTGCCTAAGTCCTCAGAGGTGGCTTTTCCTGGCAATGCTTCCCTCTACCAGCATCATGGAGTAAGACAAAAAACAAGAAGTGGTCTGCTGGCTACAGTCAGGGTTCAAAACTTGTCCATGCTAGTGCATCAAATGGCTTATCAACATGTAAATGCTGCTAAATGTGCATGCCTACCACCCACTCCTAAAGTAAAGACCCTGCTAATGTCCCTATTCCAAGGTGGGTGGTGTACGCAGATCACCACGGGTGGGTGGGTGTTGAATGTGTAGGGTATGGCCATCCAGATGGGGCTGCACAGCACCTCCAGAGCTAGGTGGTAAACTCTGCCACAGAGGGAAGGGACCCAAAATCCAGCATTACAGGTGAATGTGCTCCAGGCTCCATAACTATCCCAGCCCCATTTGGCAGTCAACACCCTCTTCACTGGCTGTTCCCAGAGGTCCCCTCCTCCTCCCATACGTCCAGGGAGTGTCTCATGGCTCTTAGGCACTGGAAGATGGTTTAATTTAACGGTTCATTATGTCAGGCAGCTTCATCCAAGCAGGACATTTTTCCAACATTTGCCCATCTTTTATTTGTGGGTGGTGAACATTTGCCCTCATTCCCCAGGGGCGGCAACAGGTTACTGTGCTTGGGGGTGAAGGACACCAGCTCTTCTGCTTCTCTCTCAAATGACTGAAACCCGGGCTAGCAGGAGTCATTTTCAGTTTAAATTGGCTGATGGGAGGGGGTGACTGCAAAACCTCTTAGAAAACTCCCAACCTAACATGCTTTCCATCAAACCAGCCTGCTTTTTGATTTCAGCTAGGCGTCTGCCCTGTGCATTTGTAAGTGTCCTGCAGGCTGCTGCAATCGGCTGCTTTGGGAGAAGTTAAAATACAAACTGAGGCTTTTTGGTGGAAGGTAAGTGTCAGGCAAGGCTGATTCCCAGGGGCTGTACCAGAGCAGACCATCAATTAGATGTCTAGAGACAGATCATAGGATGTAGAGAGCAGGTAACGGTGGAAACAACTGTGGAGGTGACAGCAGAAATGTCCTTGTACCTTGGGAACATACAGTCTGGTCCCACCCTGACCTTTGGGAGCAAATCAGGAAACCATCTTCTTAATTAATAAACTGTAAAAACACCCATGAGAAAAGAAAATGCCTTTATTCTGAGAGGTGGGGGCTCTTACATCTCAGCTTGTAATTTTTTTTTTCTAAGGCAGACATAAAAAGACTCCATAATTTATTCTTAGGACATCTGAATAGTTATTTATTGAGAAGCCACAGTTCTCACACTTTTACAACTGTCGGCTTGTATAAGGCAAAAAAAGCAAGATGGGTCACTATTTTACACAGAAAGTAAAAGCTCTGTAGGGGGGACTGATGGACATGCAGTTACTGGTCAAAATGCAATGTACATGACATATAAAAACCATTGTGAAACAGAGGAATTGTAAATTATGGTTACAAGCTACTGAAATAAATATTCAATATATTATTATAAACACATTTGTATAGTCTAGGATTGTAATTAAAGTTGTCTTTGTACATACACGGTTATTTGAAATTTAAACAAAAATGTAACATTTAGAGGAGCAAACGTCAACATAAAACAACTGCTTTGGACTTGTAATGTGCCATGATATATCCATAATGATAGGATTAATCTGGTGTGGCAATTAGAATGACTAATCCTTTGGGATGTAGCCTCTATGGAGTTAACTGCATATTGAAGGGAAGAGCCTGGTACATTAACAAGGATGCAGAATGATTCAAACGGCTGTCTGGGTTTGTTTGTTTTCTGGTTTTTAAATGAACAGAGAGAACAAAAAAATCATTTGTAACTGCCTCGTTCTTCTTTTAAAAACAAAGCTGTTTTTTTATTAATTTTAAGCAGTTGGCATCCACAGAAGAGAAACAAAGAAATGAAAGGACTCGATTCACTCATCTTCACAACAATTTACCATCAATGTATATACAGTACATTAATGAAGCATTGTTTAAACTTTAATTATAACAGGGACACACCTAGCATGTTTTCTATGTAGTTTTTCCATTAACAGTATTAAACAATGGTGCTCCATATTGCTTATGAACATATAGATATGAAATTAGGAAACCGATGAATCAAAGAGAGGTGCTAATCTTATTACCACACAGCTAACATGGCATTTGTATTGGTAAACTTCTCATGGGCATTTAGAGCTGACATAAAAATTCCTAATGTGGCTAACTGAGTTACAGACGAGGTACATGCACGGATACCAGGCGACCCCCAGCCGGTCCTCCGGGCCAGCTTCCCTAGTCATCCTCTTCATCTTCCTCATCGCTGTCCTTCATGGTGATCCCCTGGAGCCCTCCGCCTTCGCTGACCGATGCCGTCGCCTCCTCTACCGTCAGCCGGTTCCGGATGGTCTCGTAGGTTTTGCTGTTTAAGGTGGAGTCCAGAACACCTTGCAATCGGAAATCCCGGTACGTTTTCTAAAGCAGGGAGAGGCATAGAGGAAGGAGGAGACAGCACAGAGGTCAGGGCCGACACCGGGTCCCCAGCTTCGCCACAGGAGTCAGCCCGTGTCCCCATGCCCGGAGTCTGGGGCCACTAATGGAAGAGGCTGGGATGCCGGGGAAATCCCCGCCCTGGGGACGTTTTGCATTGCCCCGGGCAGCACAGGGGCTGCAGAGGGGGGTCTCTGCCGGCCACCGCTTTGCCGTGGCAGAGGTCCCTTTAGGGTGCCTTGAGCCAGAAATCACAGCTCTGCGACTGCAGGGCCCGCAGGGTGGCTGTGCTGCGTGGCTGCACAAAGGCTTCAAAGCAGGGATGTACTGGGGGCCGCGCAGGGGAGCTTTATGTATGGTAGGTTGGGGTCTAAAAAGACATCGAAGCAACAGATAAGGGCTCTGCTCACAACTAAATTTCCTTGCTTCTGGATGCATTCAGCTGCCTGTAACATCAGTTAGTTTTCTTCATGCAGCAGAACGCTTATCGCCCGTAACCGCAGACGTGATTACACATTCCCAGAATGCTCCGTATTAAATAATCCTACCTACAGTATTGGGATTAAATAAGCTAAGTCCAGGATACCAGGGAAAATTGTTGATATATAAACATAAGCACACGGCATATGTTTCTTAAATCTCTCGTTCTTCACCTAATTCTGAAACTGGGGTTGCATTTCCATAATTAGCTATATTTCCCTTATTATTACGATTAATATCTCTCATTTGAATTTATGTTTAAAAACTTCTTGACTCTGTGAGATAAAACTCTGGCCTTGTAGTTCATTTAATTCTGCTGTGTGCTCTGTGTGGAAACTATTTACTGTTCTGCTATTTCAGAAAGTCTTTGGATTTGTTGTAGCTGCTTCTGAATGTAATACTGGTACAAATAAAGCACAAGGAAGAAAGCTTTCCTCAGCTAGCTGACAAGTAGAAATAATTTGTCTGTGCCTGTTGTTTTCAGTTATGAAAAGCACATTTAATACATTTCAGTTTTAATTTATTCATGCCTTCAATGTGTTCACTGCACACAAGACCATAAACATTATAAAATACTAGACCAAAAAGCATTAGATAGAACCTAAAATGATCAAAAATATATTTACCCCCTTCTGTGATCTTATTATTTCATGTAAACCACTGCGATTTCACACTGAAATAATTATCATTAGTCCAAGGCACGCACACACACACACATATACACATACACGTGTACTCAAGGGAAAAAATGTTACTTTCAGGGTATGTTATCTCACCTTTGTGATCTCTTAGAGTTGATTATATACACCCGTTGTAAAAGAAACAACTTCAATTAACTATGAGAACAATCCTCATTTGCATTCTGACGATAATCACAAGCCATAGCTGGGCTTAAACGTTTCTAGTAAAACAGTGTTAAAAACTTTTGGTTTGATTTAACCCGTTTTAACAATGGACTTCATTGGTGTGATCAACACGTTTGTCTGCAAAAAGGCTAATTTTGGTGCGCTTATTGTACAGGTGGGGTCGAATAGCAATAGAGTTTCCCTTTTTTCATGCAAGCAGTTACTTTGTTCTTATTTGCACACCTGTATTTTGCATCTATATGCATTTCAAGTTCCTGTTTATCCTTTCCTACATGCCATACACACAAGTATCTTAATCTTTAAGAATTTTAATGAATGGCTTAATATATTTGCCAGCGACATTATGCCCAAGAGAACATGCCGCATGCATACACACATACTCCTTCTGACAGCGAGACGGTAGCAAAAAACACATCAGGTGATTACCTTTACTATCCTAATGAGAGTTTTCAGTTGATAGATGTGGAGCTGCAGGTCCATGCGGTCTGTCAGCCAGGTGCAGACAACATTCATCGAGCTGGTGTACCATTGCTGCAAGAGAGACAGGACTTCTCCAGCAACCACGTCAGGGCTGCGTGCTGCGCCCCGAGTAACCCGGGCAGCGCCCAGCGTACAGTCAGCACCACCCTTTCCCACTAGCCCGCCCGCTGATGGGGTATGACAGACTTAGAGGGGGAGACAGGCACCCTCTGTTACACAGAATTTCCATGCATGAGCTTTTAAATTTTAATAATAACAACAACAAACCTGTTAGGAGGGGTAACTGCCACCAGCAACACCACAAGGTTCTTGTAATCTGATTTTGCCATTGACGGGACTTGCCAGCAGTGGTGTGCGTTTGGCCCAATCCATTTTTTAACGCGTCCCCCTGCCGTGAGAGCACAGTCCTGCCTTTAAGTGTGTCGGACCCACACTCAAGCTACTTACCGTCTTGAAATTCAAACATAACCAGCCACGGGGCGAGTCTGCTTCCCTGACAGCGAGCGGAGGGGAGGCTCGTGCGGGGCAAGGTTTGGCTGCGGGTGAGGATGCTGGTGTGAGCACCCACCAACGCCTGCCCAGGCTGCGCGGGAAATGCTTTGGTTTCACCCTCGCAATTACGAAAAATGGAAAAGCAGCAAACAAATGAGCTTGTTTCAAGCTGCTGAACTCACAGGGCTCCAGGGCCTGAAATTTTGCTGCTTGTCTGTGAAAAAGGCTTGCAGCTGTGTGGCAGCAGCCTGCCAGCCCTGCAGTGCAGGAAGTCTCCGGTGGGCTGTGGATCAGCGCCCCGCTCACGCAGGGCTGGCATTGCACGTCTGACGCCACACAGACGAGCAGCGAGCCCTCGAGAGAAGGAAAAGCAGGGGCTGTGGCGGGGGGGGTGGTGGTGTCACAAAACCCTCCCCACGGCGCTCAGCACAACAGTTGAGTACAAAGTGGTCTGCATACAGAAACCCATCACGCCTCTGTACGCACAGTCACACCCTTCTCTCGCAATCTCTCTTACACACACGCAGACAGATCAAAACCTATACTGCAGACCAGCTGCAATTAATCTAGAACCAGTTAAAGATAAAAAAACCCCACCGGACCAGTTTATAAAAATCCCGATCGAGCGCCATCCAGGTTAGTCTGAAATGCAGCGGGCTCCCAACTAGCCTGCAACCTTGCATCAGCCTAACGCAGGGGTTACTGCCTCCCTTCGCCGCACCGTTGGGTGGGGGGCTCTGGCGCAGAACCATGCCCTCTTCCCTCTGTTGCTGAAGCTGCCAGCGCAGCAGGGGCATGGAGACAACTGAAGATTCTGTAATTGCAAAACTGAGGCCGGTGATTTGTTACCCTCCACCCTTCCACAGCGGCTGGGAGGCCAGCGCCTGCCTGTGCGCAGCGGGCGGCGCCACCAGCATGA